TCTTTTAGGGGCATTTTGGCAAATAACTCAAGCTATAGGGCTATTTTGCAAATTATCCCTATCTTATATATATATATATATCTTTTTCAGCCTCCTGATGAGTCGGTGAAACTCCGACGAAACAGTTTGTCACAGCCCCTCGTTTGTTGTCCTCTTCTCTCTCTCTGCCTACGGTTTCACCGGGCAGTTCTGTTTGTGACGATATATATATCGAAAGATCAAAATAAATCCTAGCTTCCCCTTTCGTTCTCTCAATGTTTTTCGGACTTTTTCTTGTTGCTCCCCCCCCCCAGCCAAACCATTGCAAACTTACTCAGGCTAGTTCTGAGGGAGGGATATAAAAAAAAAAAAAAAAAAAAAAGAGACGGAGGGGAAGGGCCAGCGAAGAACTCTAGCGATCTTGAGAGTTTCCCCTGGTTAAAGTGAGAACCAGTTCCTGAAGTCTTAGTTGGAAGTCCTTTTTCCTCTCATCATGATTTTTCATGGGATGCTGGGCCCGGTTTCGAGCACATGCTGCTCCCCACGAATAGATTGGAGCATTTTGTTCCCCCCCCTCAAAAAAAAGGGGCTCTTCCTCTCTTGCCTCCCATGGATAAGACGTTAGTCCTCCGAAGCAAACATAATCATTTAATGGTCGATCAAGCGACATCCTCAAGAGAGTGCAGACGAGAAGAGAAAGGACGAAGAAAATGAAGAGGAAAAAGAAGAAGAAGACGCAGAACAGTAAAGCCAGAGAGGAAGATCGCACGTCCCAAATTTTCCCAAAACGTGACTGAGTTGGCCGTCAGAATTTTGACGTAAAGCACCGCCAAATACATCAAATAATAGACATGAAGCTCATGGCGCAGAGACGCTACGCTGCGTTTCATCCTGCCGGAATCATCAGGTGTCTTAGTTTGGATCGCGAGAAGGAGGGACTGGACAAATGTTAGACCTGGAATAAGTACTTTCAGAAAGACCGCCAGAAAGAACGCTTATCGGAAGGACCAAGAGAATCAGAACAGGATAAAGACCAAATTCATTACTACGAGTAGGGTTTCTATCAGTTCTACCGAGCATAAAGCGAAAGGTTCGCCGAACAACCGGACGTAAGCAACCTTCAGAAAAGAACAGAGCCACAATAGAGACCAGATTCATCAGACCATGATAGGCCTTCCACAAAAGACTAGAAAAGTCCACTAAAGCAGAACAGACGCCACACGTACCCCAAGCCTAAATCGCAAAGTAAGGAGAAAAGAACAGCCAATTCTCCATCCTCCATCTCTTTTTTCTTTTTCTTTTTTTCCCTCACCACCCGCCAGTCCAGTAAGTCAGTCATACCCCAATGATCTTCGGGAAATATTTTTCTAAAAAGGAAAAAGAAATAGAAAAAGAAAGAGAAAAGGAAAAAAGAAAAGAAAAAAGAAAAAGGAAAAGACACAGAAGGAAAAACAAAGGATCCCAAATGACTCCTACCCAAACAGTTTTAGCATACCCGTCTCGTGCCTTGCCAAAACTCCAGAAAAGCCCACCTCCTCAAATTGTCTTGCCACTGTTCTCCCCACCCTGTCAAGCATTCGACCCAATCAGACCATATGCCCCCAAATTATTCTGAAAAATTGCAAAGTGCATTGTCGAAGTATTCATCCGGAAATCCTCGCTTCCTGAGCTCAATTTTCAGGGCAAACAGGAATGCCACCTCAGTCCCCGCCAACGTGGTGTACGCCTTCGCCCTATGTAAGCATGAGCCAATGACGACCGTTTTCTGCAGACGACCGTGGTTTATCAGTCTGACCTGGGGCGGTTGAACACATGAAGCGATGCATAGTCCCCTGACCATCAGTCCTAGCGCGCTTACCTCCTGACGAGGATGCTCCCTCATTCAGCCTTGGTCTTTTCTTAACGTACTTACTCATAAGGAGCAGCTTCGCACACTCCTTGAATGCCTTCCGATCGGCACCATTCACGCCAACCAACACAAAGTCGATCGTCAGGGAGGGATTTGCCACAATCTTTTTGGCAAGAAGCATCATCACTTCTCTCACACATCCAAACGACAGAGAGGTCAATATCAATGGTTTCCAACACGTGGAAAAACACTTGATCACGGAGGACACTTTCGCCCTCGGGGTTGGCGCATCCGGATAGAGGATATCCAGATTGTGCAACAGGAACAAGATCAGGTGATCAAACCATGCGGGGCCCGTACCACAATCAGCCTTTCCCTCAGAACAGCATTTACACTTCAAGTACGGCCTACCTACATTCCACACTCTTTTTAGCTCTGCCAAAGCAGACAGATTCTGACGGGGCTTATTCCCCTTGATGAGGACATTTGGGCGAGGCAGGAAACACTTGCTGACATCCATCGAGGACATAGGGGGGAGGAATATCCCATCCCCATTGAACGGGAATTTGACCTTTGGCGGTGTGGTGCTCATATCCAACGCTCTCTCGAATGCAGCCTTCATCTCATCTTGAGTGAGGGATGCTGACAATCTGTATCCCCTTTGGTCAATCGGAGCAAGATAATTAAAGGTCTCAAGTGACCAAATCCTGTCGGAAAACGCTGTGGACATTGTCTCTACCCATCTAGGTGAGGCAAGGGGGAGGAACGCATTCCTCCTAGCGTCCGTGAAGGTTTTCTTCTTGTTCGTCATAAGGCAAGCCTTAGTCCTCGCCACCTCAACTTCCTTCTTTCTCATGTACTCCTCTTCTTCGGTCATCTCATCCTCATCATCCTCCAACGCCACCTCATCAACAATCACAACCCCGCGCACCACCCTTTCCTTGTGAAATTGTGAATCAGCACCCCAGATCCCGACGAACTTCACCTCAGCATCAATGGTGCTCGCGTTTACCATCCTATCCTCGACCTTCACCGCCTCATCTACCACTACCGTGGCCCTCGCCATTCTATTCAGCGCATCGACAAACTCATTCCTCCTATGTCGATAAAGGTAGATCAGCTCGGCCCAGTCATTAAAAGACAGGAACTCGACCAGGGGAAGGGTTTGAATCTCGGGGGTAACAAATATCTCCTTAACCTCAGCAATCACTTGCTTCTGTGCACATGCAATCAAGGCTTGGGTAGATCGGGAGGGAGGGCGAAAATGTGCAAGCCACGCTTTGTCACCAGTAACAAGCTCCGGAATCCACAGCACGTGAGAGGCAACAAAATCCTGAACACAGCAAACCATCGAAAACACAGTCCCAATACCATGAGCATATATGGAAGACAAGGCAAAATGCAATAAGCATTGCTTTTGACAACACAGGAACCCTAAAACCAACTGGAGTATACCGCATCCTACTCGTGCGTCATGAACGAGAGTTCATGGCTATCAGCCATGGGAGGAAACCTCCACAAAGGGTACTTCCCTGAAATGGAATTGTGAGTGTATAGATGTGTGTGAACACATATTATAAACGCCTCAGCACGTAACATTTACATGCTCCAACCCGCCATCACAACACAGAATGCACCCCATCAAAGATCCTGAATTATCTCACGTGCTCACACCTGATTCAACTAGTCTATCCATAAAGTGCATGCACAGAATATGACGTTCTCAAATTCAGAGCACTGCCCTCATACCGCCTCAGCCATAGGGCCCATTCCAAATTCCCAGCGACCCACAAAGGCACACAAACAAATGAATTATATAATCATGCTTTCAAGTAATAAAAAACGTGGTGACGACAACATCTAAAGGAGGTAAAAAACATGATCTCCAGACTGCCAGAGATATAGAAGATCGGAAGCATCGCACGCATATCAAGGGGGACAGAACCACAAAATACCAAGAGAGGGAAGGAAAACACCGAAGAAAGAGAGATCAGATATGTATCAATCAGAGACGAAAATGAGGGAGAGGAAGAGTCCATTTGAAGAGCACACCATGAACAAATAAAAGCGTCAGATGGACCAATTGTAAAAACCCTTACACATAGTCCAGTCAGCCCCCATTTATCGCCATCATCGTTGTCCAGTCATTGAACATCAGTCGGTAATCTCGTGACTTCGTCTTCTCCTGCTGTTGGGTCCCTTCCTTGCTGCCGGTCCATTCCACTCCAGCTATCCAGCCTCCTCTAACGCCACCTAGCCAGTTGGTGCAAAAGGCAGTGATTGCTCGCTCGATATCCCTTGTCATTTGTAGGAGATCCAGCTTGGTCTTCAATTCCTGCCATCTCCTCATTATCTCCATTTGAACCTGTTGCCGGATTTGGTCAGTTGTCTCTGTTCCCTCCACTCGCACTCCCTCGAGCACCATCAGGCAGTGCTGTCACCAAAGTCCCCACAATACTGCCCTGCGTCCCAGCCTATACATGTTTTCTACGAAGGGTGATTCTTCCTGCACCCGTGGCCAATGACCCGTCAAGATGGTTCTCCAGGACCATGGCCATGCAGGGTCTGGTATCATTTTTCTCCATATYTTGTCCCACCAGCGCCACGTGAGCTGCACTGTAGGGCACTGCATAAAGATGTGTTCTATGGTTTCAGGCCTCTTCTGTGCGGGAAAGGTGCTTAGGCACCGTGGACACCAGGGTTCCGCCTGACCTCTTTGTTCGAGGTTCGTATGGTCTATGAGCCAGTCCATAGTGGGTAGATAGCAATGTGTAATCTGCCATTGTAGAGAGGAGATTTTAGCCGGCTTGGTTCCTCCCTCCTGAAACCAACGGATCGGTGTGAGCATGCTGCTCTCTACATTAAGATGTTTGGCCCATCGATCAATTATTACCTCTCTCAACGAGCGTTTGGGCCTCAACAACTTGTATATGGATTTGACTGAGAGCTTGTGGAGATGGATATAGCGGGGGGGGTTTGTTTTGCGTGTGGTTAGGGCCCACCTCCATTCCAATGGGTCCAGGGTCAGGTGATGAATTCCAGTGTCTCGCTGGAAAGCAACCGCCTCCTCTCCTTCCCCCAGCACCCTAACCCTGAAGATGGTGGTCTTTTCCTTCCATTCGAAGAGGTCGTGGCTCCCCTGTAGTGCCCCCGTCTTTTTTTTTTTTCCCTTCCATTCGAAGAGGTCGTGGCTCCCCTGTAGTGCCCCCGTCTTTTTTTTTTTCCCCTTCCATTCGAAGAGGTCGTGGCGCCCCTGATTTTCATCTTTCCACAAGCTAAGTATGTATGCCCGAAGGCTGTGTGTTCTGTGAATCGATGTACGGAAATGTAACGGCAACGAGCTGAACAAGGACCCCCCCCAAGGACTGAACCAAGCTCGAGCCCGTGACCTTGTAACATATAATAGAATGACTCTGCCATGTGAACGACCAGCGGAAATGGAACAAACGGATGATATGCCAGACTGGGGAGATCAATAGAACACCCAAGACCGACCCCCCCAAGCAACCCATGTGAAACCCAGAACCAACATACAACACCATGAACAACCCTTGGGTGGTGCGCAGGCAGTGTCTGTAATAGTACCATGCGTCAGCCCAAGGGAGTGTATGTCCAGCCGTGCGTCAATCTAACGCCCTGCTGGTGTCCATGCGCAAGGTTGCAATTGAGTTTTGAACCCGCAACCTTATACCACGATACGCATTTCCAACCGGTGCTCTAACCACTGAGCCACATCCTTTTTCACGCGCCTCGTTCAACAATCTCAGTAGACTTGCTGTCCGAGACCTACCTGGAGTTTTGAAATTCAAATGCATGTGCCTGCCCTTATCAATCCTTCTCTTTCCCACATTTACCGTCTGCTACCTCCTCCCCTGGCCATATCACTTCCCCCAGCCATCCCACATTAGATCCCCCCAGCCAGTCTGAATTGAATTTTTGAATTGCTTTTTTAATATCATTTTTTTGGTGAAAACCTAGGCTATCAGCAGGGCCGGCGGCCCAGTCATGCAAGGACTAGAAAAGGTCCCAGCCAAAAAAAAAAAAAAAAAAAAAAACCATGAAAAAAAACTATGTTATGCAGAAAAATAAACCGAACAACTTTTGTCTTAGGGTCATATTGAAATTCTTTACCAGGGGCGGTGGTATCAGGACAGCGCTTTAGGATAGATTTGATTCTCCTGTCTCTCACCATGGAAGGAGCACTCACGCATGCGGCAATTCTGCCGGCCAGCCCCTTCGCAGGTCTGGACCACAAAATGTGCATGGAAGCACTCACCTTTCACAAACGTCCTGACCAGGTGCGGGCCTACTACAAACTGAATACATCTATACTGCGGTTACACTCCTTCCAACAATACCTGCGACAGGCGTGGGCCTATTGGAAGGACCGCCGCCCGGAACTAGATTCTCAAGTTACTTGGTTTAACAACGACCTGTTTTTTTTATCAAGGAAATGTAATTAATTCTCCAAACAGCTAGCGGTTCAACGTCACCAGCAGGAAATGGAAACCATGAACCACCTTGTTGATTTTGAACAACAGGGGCTTTCGTATGGACCAGACCTCCCTGAAAGCTTGGAGAGATTGACACAAATACAATCCTTGAAGGACCAACTCTTAAGACACGCCCTATACCGATGGCAAGGTACACAAATTCGGGGGAAACAGTCTAAATACAACTCGGAAGGGACAGTGGACAAAGAATTCTTTTGATTAGCTCAAACAAGGGCAAAGCGCTCCACGATTGAAGCACTATATGATTCAGGAATAAACGAGGCGCAACCTGCGATAACAATAGCTCGGCGCGTTGAAATCGCACGGGATTTTTTCAAAGACCTTTCTGCGTCACATATTCCGCCAATGGAGGATGAAGCACGACATCAGTTAATAGAAGACTTTCTCTCTCCCCGGGACGGGTCCCTATCGGAAGATCGAAAAGAAAGACTTGAAGCACCTCTCGTCAAGGACGAAATCTGGACAGTACTTATGCAAATGAAATAAGACAAATCACCAGGTCTAGATGGACTCTCTGAGGAGTTCTGGGAAACCATGTGGAACACGATGAACCATGACTTAATGGACTATTATGCTGAAGTATGGACAACAGGTGGAATGGGAGAAATGGTAGGACAAGGAATCTTATCACTACTATACAAAAAACTTGAAAAAAGGCGATAAGATGAACATCCGAAATTACAGGTCCATCACTCTCCTCACAGTGGCGTACAAAATGCTAACCAAAACACTAGCGAACAGAATGATCCCGGTGATGGAGGATGTTATACAACGTCCAGGAAAACATTCTACTGGTCCATGAGGTCCTACAACTCGTCAGGCATTCACGCCAAAACGCAGCATTGGTCTTCATTGCCTTTGAGAAAGCGTACGACCACGTTGACTGACTTTTCCTAGATAAATGCTTACAAAAAATGAACTTCGGGCCGACATTTAGAAGGTGGGTGCGGATTCTGCATACAAATGCCACTACTACAATCCAAAGTAATGGAACTCTGGCCCCCACTATAAAACTCGAACGGTCGGTCCACCAAGGGGATCCCATCGCCCCCTTCCTGTTCTTAGTCATCATGGAAGCCCTTGCAGCCAACTTACGGTCGAACGAGGATATCTCTAGAATAAAGATAGCCCATATACTGGAAGAGGCTGTCCCGATCTTCTCCTTATTCGTAGACGACCTCACAATCATGGCAGAGGCCACCTCGTTCAATATGGAAGAAATTCAGCATCTGATGGAGAGGTTCTCCCAAGTCTCAGACATGAAAGTCAACTGGGGAAGTAAGACGCAAGGGTGGTGGATCCACTACCAAGGAGGTCGGCCACCAGACAACCCCCGTATTTCATGGCAGCCCTTGGAAGCCCCTCTTCGAATCCTGGGAGTCTCCATGACGGCGACAGGTCGCCCCCCGACGAGTGACAAATGGATTAGCGCCCCGGCCCTGGCCAAACTAGCCAAATGGCGGAACAGGACCACCTCTCTTTTGGGGAGAACATTGATAATAAATAATGTAGTGCTTGCAACAACTTGGTACAAATCATTGCTATGGCAGCTTACTTATGGAGGGGGGACGACGGGCGAACAAACGTTATTAACAGAGTAGCATGGGATTCCATCATTCAGCCCAAAGCCATAGGGGGCTTGGGGATTATAGATTCGGCTACACAGGTACGAGCCCTGTGGCTTCAGTGGCTTAAGAAACTCATTCTCACCTCAGACAGTCCGTGGAAAGTCTTGGCCTTGGAACACCTGGCTAGACTGGCCCCGACAACCCTCCCCGAAATACATCCCCTAACCTGGTTAGAGGACAGATACTGGACCATACCACGGAAATGGCAGACGGGAGAAGGACACGGGGAAGACGCTACGGACGAGTTCTGGCCCTCCTTACTCAAAAC